GGACGTGTCACCGTCCCCGGGCAAATTTGCCCACCCGCTCATATTGAGTGGGTTCAGGGGAGTGAGGAATGAGCATTAATCATCCCGGCGCTAAAGCTCATCTTCTATGAAATGACAACAGAGTAAGGACGATTGAATGCTCGCAAGGACACATGCTACTTAGATCCACATCATCTTCCACAGCTACAAGACGATGAAGAGCAGATAGCAGGATAAGTAACAATTGCTATGACAAACAGGGCTAAACTTTGGCACGTGGATCTAATTCTTTCCCCCACCAGATGGGGAATTATAGACTTCCCCTAGCAGCTGACGGCCAGTGTGGCTCTTTGTTGCCACCTATATCCTCAGAGGACCATTCTCAATGATTTCAAAGCAATCAGCCAAACAACCACTCTCTCTCTCTCTCTCTCCCCCGTGTGGGCCATGATAGCAGGCTATGAACGAGCAGATCCCATGCAGTCCTGGTCAACAGGGCGCCGCAGAAGCGTGATACGAGATGCAGTGGCATCCCCAACAATCATTGCATCCTCGTCAATAGGGGTCAATGGGATGGCTCACTGACCCGGAGAGGCATCAAGTCAAAGACGAACGTTACGACGTTGCCATGACACCAAGCCATCGGAAGCCCTGCCGATCTCTCTACTATAAGCTACTTTACTGCGACACCGCCATTTAGCCGAGAAGCATCATGAAGGACTTCGGAGCCACGCACCAAGCCTGGAATCTGCTGAAGTCATGGAACTGCAAGGCATCGCATCTGCAGCCATCGAATCTCAATCGCTGCTCCAGGTCTACTACGCAATTTGAAAGACGAACCGAAGACCACGAAGGCCAATAGCCAGGTCTCGCTGCTGGCTCGGCGGGATGCCCGTGGAAGAGTGGATGGCCTCCCATGCGTCGGCTTCGGCCATTTCCGTATCACAGACCCGGGCTCGCATCTTCAAGCCCTCAGACCGACTATCTCCCTGCAAGGGTCCTGGCTCCGCGCTTGGGCATGCGAAACCTCGTAACACCATGCATGCGACCCCGCAAGTCTTGGCCTCGCGAAGCTTCCGCAGCGTGCCCGCCTCTTCGACCTGCCCGTCCTCTCTCTTTCATGCTCTCTCTCTTCTTCGTCTCACCATGCAAGCCCCGTGATCCGAAAAAGCAAGGTCAAGCACAGCGACTGCACAGAGCGTCGACATCTGCAGACTACAGGGGCCCAGGAACCCTTACCCTGAGGCGACGTCAGCTGTTTGCCTTGATGCTATGGACTATAGCCTAGCAGTCTCTTGCAGCCTCCACTGTACAAAGAGGGCCAGCAAGGCCATCGACCGACACCTGAAAGGACAGGCGGGTCTTTCTTTCACTTGGACAGGGGGAGCTAGGGTATGCTTCACCAGCTGCCAATGAAGTGCTTACGGCTTAAAAGTTGCGTTTGGCCCTCCAGATGCCTGAACTCTGCAGAACCATGTCCCTGCAGTCGCCTCCTGATCTAACTTCTGTTTGCGCTTTGTCGATTTCCGGCTGGGCACCTTGATTGTTGCCATAGCTCTGCCGTAGTTGCCAGTGGGCCACAGCCATGGCCATGAACGCCCACTGGAGCTAAGGATCCGTGCTTGCTGGCCTTCCGTCGGGCCTACAGCTGGGCAGACAGTTTGGGGGCTGTTTCTGGGAGTTGCTGCTTCCAGCTTGAGAATCGAGAACGTGAATTAAGAGTGTTCGAGACTCTTCCATCTCTTCACTTTCCCTGGCATCGATTCTTAAGCAGCATGTGGCTGCACGGACAGACCCGGGGTCCCAGGTTCGACCTGCCATGTTCTCGGATGAGTGGTCCCTGCCTATGTTAACTGACCCTTCGTGTATAAATCTGGACCACCGGGCTTGTGGAGTGTGGTTGACAGCTTCAACAACCTGTGCATGTCGACAAGCCTGATCTGATGGCTCGAGTTCCTTTATATTATATTATATTATATTATATTATATTATATTATATTATATTATATCTGCATCCTAGGGGGGCACACTCTAAACTTCGACCCTGCAGCGCCTCGGACCTTTCTGATGCAGCAAAGTTGTCTGGACTTCCAGACGAAGTAGGATTAGGGCACTGCCCCTCGTTTGAGGGTCAGCACAAAGACGGCCAACAGATTCTTTGGCCCAAGGCAAGATGACACACTGGGAAAACTACTGCTGTTGCAGACCAGTACAAATTAGAAGAGCTTTTTCAGGGCACGCTCCGTCCAGAGATGATCGCACTCAGGGTCAAGACGATTGGTCTCCTCTACTATAACCTACGGCCTAAGTTTGCAAGTCTGGAGCTAGGTGGCAGGAGTACAGGGTTTCTCGTCGGCAAACGGGGCAAGGAGTGCATTCACCGAAGGCTCCGGTCTGAACCGTGAGGTCTTGGTCTGCGGGTCATGCCTATCATACACCATGCTCCGCCAAATGGAGGCTTCTCCGCATCTCTGGTAATCTGGAGCCCAGCGACTTCTAAGTGTCCCCTTCTCCGATTTGCTTGGAAGCCTCCAAAAAAGGAACCTTTTTTGGTCCCAGTCTAAGAGGCTCTGCCAGGCCATGGGATCTCAGGGCCCATGGGCGGCCAAGGTGGCCGAGCGGGACCTCCCCAAGGAACGACTTCCGGTGTCATCTCCTGCAAGGACGGCCTTCAGCCTCGGCCATGGGAGGAAGCTAGGCCCGTCGCTGTGCAACTTGGGGTCTGGGCTTTGAGGTTCTGAAGACCCCATCAGAAACCTGCACCTCTCCACAGCTCTGGGAAGCTCTACATATTGTGAATATAGTGAACTTCAGTAGCTCTGGCAGAGCTAGAACTTCAGAGAGTAAATGCTGAGTGAGGGGATGTCCGGGACCCAATGTGCGGCCGAAGTGACGCTTCGTATCCGCCAGGCGGTGCCGGATTTCCCTTCCCCAAGCAGAAGCAGTTCCTGGTCTGGGTCAGAAAAGTGACTCGGACCATGGAAGCGGGATTTGGTGATGATGATGGTCATGGCAGTGGCGATGGCTACTGGTGATGGTGTTCGTTCTGGTTGTGACGGAGGCTGGTGCTGTTTGCGTGCTGACCCCGATGTCGGCGACGGTTATGCTCTTGGTTGTGAAGATCATGCTCGTTATGGTGACTTTCCCTTCTGTGCATGATGATGGTTATGGTGATGGTGAGGATGATTCCGGTGACGCTTGTGATGGCAATGCTGGGACTGGGCTTGAACAGAAAACAAAGCTGTCAGGACTTTGGGGTTTAAGTCGCAGTTGGAAGATACCGGATCTGATTGCACTGCACCTCTTGCGGGCAAAGGACGCGAAGTAGTGACAATACTCGAAAAGGATCTCCATGTAAGTTTCGAACTCCAGTCGGTCGTGCAGCCTGCATACAGGCTGCCAGGCTTGCTGCTGCGAAAGAGCACGTTAGATCCACTGACTTCTTGCAGCTGAAAGAACTCGGATTCTGTTGCAGGGCCTTCTGTTCGCTGTTTGCAGGCTGTCTGGGTGTCGAGGCAGCGAGTCGGTAACTAGGCAATCCGGGATGCAGTGATGCCCATCAAACCGAAAACCGGCAACCTGCTAAGGGCAGGAACAGGACTGGCAAGTGCATGGCCTCTTCATGACGTGGTGCTGCCTCATGGAAGCTCTGCTACCATCGAAATGCATATGGCATATGCTCGAATGCTTGAACACAGAAGAATCCAGATCGTGAAGGCTCACCCGTCAGCCAACATGAGAATAAATCTTCGAACTAGTTCCAGCATCAACATCTCGTGAGTTAAAGAATCAAGCAGCCACACGCAACCGTAGCGGGGCAGAAAGCGCATGCAGACTGAACAGAATGTGCCAAGGTTCCATTGGCATGCATATTCAGCATAATGATGAGTCGATCCGTCTATGCTGGTGTTTGGGGTTGAGGTATTCGACGTCGACGTGGTGATGCCGAACTGACCGTGGTTGTTGGGTTTGGGGTTCACATGTTCGGCATAATCTGCGGCGCAGGCACTCGCCGCGGTGATGCTGCGATCCGTCTACATCGCACTGTGGGCGTCGGTGTTTGGGGGCCACAGTGATGGTACGATCTTTCCATGGTGCGAACAGTAACACATCAACGCCCCCGTGTGGTAGTACATAAGACTCCAGCGGACAGCTCAACGGTGCAGTCAAGACACTGGTCTCGCTGCATGAAAAGGTACTCTTTCCTTATCACTGTCGAAGCGACGCAAGCACCCAACCATCCAAAATGTGCCAAGTTTCCCCCGCGTGTAGAGTAGTGCCTGGCGGAATGTTGGGCAAGGCTGCAGAGGGAATGAACTCCTCTTTGGAAGTCCAGTCTGCATGCTCTCAGTAAGGTGTCCAGATCCTCAGCAAACCCTTTTTTTGGTGCTGTCAGCAGCTCCTTCTCCTCGTTCTCCCGAGCAGAGTGTGGATTTGTGAACTCATCGACTGCGCCGTCTTTCTTGTCCTGCAACTCGGATACTTGGAATGGAGCTCTGAGCATCTTAAGCATACATACATACATAAGAACATACATACATACATACATACATACATACATACATACATACATACATACAGACATACACACATACACACATACACACACATACACACATACACACACATACATACATACATACATACATACATACATACATACCTACATACATACCTACATACCTACACACATACATACATACGTACGTACGTACATACATACATACATACATATATACATAAATACGTACATACATACATACATACATACATACACGGAATACACGTAATACACACCCACACGCGTGTATGCGCACAAACACACCTAATGTAAGTGATTGTATTTTGTGTATGTATGTATGTATATATATATATATTCATATATATATATATATTCATATATATATATATATTCATATATATATATGCGCACATTGGTCAGGAGAGTCCACAGACGAAAACGGAGGCAGGTAAGCAGACAAACTGACTGACCCGACATAAACGCGTAGAGAGAGACAGAGGGAAGGAAAATGGGCAGATCCAGGATTCAGCTGCAAAAAGGACTTTCGTCGGACCGAAGAAAGCGTCCCACCTTGCCTTCGTGTATGCGCATTTCAGAACATAGACCGGATTGCCTTGGGTGTGATTGAGCTCTTTGGGAATTTGGAACGGACAGGGCTTGCTGATCTAACAATAAACTCCCAGGTCCCAGCCCCATCTAATGCACTTCTGCACCGGCACCTCAAGACTTTAGGAACTTTAGGAAAGATGACCAGCTGCGAAACTAGCGGAGCGGCTTTCCTGTTCGGTGTCTGTGCCTCCTTTGATTAGGGACTTGAGCTTGCGGCAGTCTTCGTGGTTATGGTGGTGGCCGCCCACCGCCATTCGCGGCACGGGCTTCAGTGCAGGACGGAAAGGGCAAACAACTCGGTGGCTGCTAGCGGCTGCTCATATGCCCTCAAAGCAGCAAAGGTGAGATCCAGCTTCAGCTAAGCAGCAGTTATACCAGGTGTAGGGCTTGTGCTGCATCACCTCCTCCACGGTTTGAACGCTGGACTGTGGGATATCAGGTCGTCTCCAGGGCTGCGCCACCAGGAGGTAGGCCAGCATCTCAGCCAAGACATCGGAGTGCTCGGAATCTCTCGCGATTGCAAGCGTGAGCACACATTACACTGGCCGATTCCCTTCATTCGCAGCGGTCGCGTTTTTTTTTTTTAAGAAGATGTAGGCTGAATATTGAAGCAGTCTTCTGCAGTTGCGCCCGACCTTGCCCGACCTCCCAGAACCGGCAAACCCCACGGACTCGGCCGGGCACCCAGAGGCAGGAAGCCACTGCCATCACCAAGATCCTCAATGAGCGTTGCTCTTGTTATTCGTGGCTTTTCTTGGTACTGTTCTTTGTGGCTGTGGTGATGCCATCAGACACTTCGACGACTTGAGTTGCACAGGGAGGACATGTCTGTGCGCCACGTCGGGCAACGACCCACAGCCCCAAAATCGCGGGGGGGAAGAAAGCCAAGGATCAGTGATAGGACAGCTGAGAGCGTCGACTCGAAGGCCACCACCTCCGACCTTCCAAGCGAAGGTCGGAGAGATGGCTCTTGCTTCCGTATACGTACACGCAATGCTTAAGCCGTCTCTTTACAGGCCCGCGCTTTTTGTTCGAACGTTTGCGCCCTTCACTTTACTACACACGGTCGACTATGATGCACTCGGGGCAGTCATCCAAAAAGCTGTGGACATACCAACTATAGAAGACCGGTAACCAGAGGCCCTAAACAGGCAGACAGGCCTGAGATTCAATCAACCCACTACGCTTGAATCTGCAACAAAAGCTGGTGCCTCACTGCCCAGATGAATGCCGAGCCCGCGAGGCAGCTTTGGGGGAAACCCCAGAAGAGCCATGCCTGCAGTGTGCAATGCCACGAAGCAACACTCGCACCGTCACTTCATCACTCTTCGAAAAGAGACATGGTCTGTCCTCAAGTCTGCTTGGAAGCTATCGCCTGTTCGCGAGGTGGCTGGACAGACTGGAACAAGACTGATAATCGGCAACCCTCAAGAATGTGCACACTGCCCAGTCGGGAAAGTAATACTTTCACGAAGGTCCGCAGATACTCGGAGCTTGGTAGCAGGGTCTCGAAATCATGGTACAAAAACCCTTCAGCCCCGCACCACGATCCTACCTGAGCTATCCGCACGCTCAGGGATCTGTATCAAATTCTTCAACCTAGGGTCTGTCGTGTCCAGCAGGTGGCCATTGAAATTGGACGCAGACTGCACCCGAAGATGCATGAACCGAGACCAGTACCAGTAGAACCTTGGCGTTTTCGGAAGCCTACGAGTACCGTCTGCTGACATGAAGACAAACCGGAAGACAATGCGACTTGAAACTGTAGGCCCATGGCCTGCTCTTTCATGCTGGCATGACAGGATTTGGGCTCAGGAGGTTCTCATCTCTCCCTAGCTGAGACCACTGCACCGACCAGAATGTCAGCATCATGAAGAGTCTCCACCTCGGAACTTCCGACTGAGGCCTAAAGTCAACTTCGCCGGTTCAGGGCTTCGGATTCAAGGCATGAGGTACTCAGGATCTGGGCAGGAAGTGGAGAGCAAACCTATGCCACTCATCAAGAAGCCCTGCTTCTCGGGCTTTGGGCTCCCAACCCAGGCCCTAAACCCAGTCAGCCCCAGCTAAAAAAAGCCTGCTACTCTCGTTGGACGGACCCCTAGCTTGCGTCACAGCTTCACAGACTCCGTGATGATGGCCGTGACCTGAGTCGGTGATCTTTGGATGTCTCTGGCCAGACGATTGTCAGAAGTTCGTTTCTTGGGCACTCCGAGTATCTTCGAGTAGACGTTTGCATCTGCGGAGTTCATGACCTACGCTCATTGCTCTCCAACAGCAGGGCATACTGTTCGAACCCGACGTCCCTCAAACTCATCACCGAGCCACACTGAATGCCGTGGCAATGTGCACGATGAACGCACAGTAGTCCCAGGCGATGCCGTTCTCTGGAGCCTCGATGGCCTGCGCATTGGCAGCTGACTAGCTGTGACTAGCTGTGACTAGCTGGTAGTTCTCCTGCTAAGTTTGGAAAGACAAGCCAACTCCTACAAAGCCCACCGAGCCGCAGCTCGAGGCTCATCGAAGCTCAGCAGGCTCAGAGCGGCTGCGGGATGTTACTCTGACACCTGCCTTCTCAGCATTGAAGCGTGGGTAGACGTCGATGTCAGCAGGGGCCCAGGGAAGAATCCTCACCGGTCACCGAGGATTTGGGACAAACCCTCGTTGGGGATACACATGATGGACTTGGAAGGGTAGGTTTCTTCAGAAGCCCTCGAGGTTCTGCAATGTAGTTATGCCTGGAGCTCTGAGGGTTTGCAAAGCTTCGTCATGGTTCTGCGATAGATGCTGACATATGCTGCCCCTGTTCTCCTAACCCCGGGACTGGGATCCAAGCTCCGGGGAACCTGAACTCCCGCTCCAACCCGTCAACGCCGTCAACTCCCAAACCTGAAAGGCCAGGGAGACCCCGGGAAAACGCGGGGCATCTTTCCAGAAATTGGGGCAAATATGGCTTGAAGCGGAACGCTCCCCTCTCGGGTCGGCGAGGCACACTTTCAGTGCATAGAGCAAGCAGCCAGGGAGGGCCCGCCAGACGTAGATAATCTTGGCGACCTTGTTGGTGGGTTTTTTTTTGGGTTTAGGGCTTCAGCACTCACACTCGGACTTGCCTAGGCGAGGGTTCACTGGTCGGGGCATGAGGGTTTAGGGTTTAGGGCTTCGGTAGGAAGTCTTCCTCTGGATATCGTGGTGGCCGACTTCGGCCATCCGTGAGCTCCAGTTTGGGATCTTGGCTCTATGTGCTCTATGACGTTCGGGAAGATTTCACCAGCAGAGTGCCCGTTGTGACTACGGTATCAACAACTATCCGTCCTTCACAACCTGGCCTGGTGCATGAAATTTGGGGATCGACCGTTTTCTCGCGCATGCAACCAACGATGGTCCAGAGTCTGCTCTGCTAGACTACAGGTACAACGGAGTGAAGACTTGCGGATACCTGCTGCCAAGCACTGGCCGGAACGAGAGTCCGAAAATCCCACACAGCATACCTGGGGAGAGTGTAGCCTACTTTCGCCTGCTGGCTAATGACAAGTCCTCATTCTGCTGCCCACCTACCACCACTCATGCCGAAACAATGAACAGGATGTGGCAGCCGCGATGTCAACAATATGAGGATCGGACCAAGGTGTGCTGCACAAACGGCACCACACAGCCCATGAGAAAGCCCACAATGTAATTGACGTAGAGACCGCCTCGTTGACCACAACGACATCCGAAACTATGGGCGTATGTGGCGTTCTTTGTTTTGCCTGGGCTTTGGTGTGTTCGGTTGCTGTATGCTTGAACGAGTCTACGCGAACAAAGCTGAAGTTCGGGTGACCACTACCCAGTCACTACCCTTCTGCGAGAACCGGCTCTGCATCGCACTCGTTGGACACTCCAGTTTAGGGATCGAAGTGAGGGTCGAGCTGTGTCACACCAGAGGGCTCAATGTGAATCGCCTGTCTGGAAAGAACATTATCAGCAAGGCGAGTTCCTGAATTTGTAAATTACCTTCCACTTGCACTTAGTCTCCTGGAACGTGCATGTTGTAGAAAGACTCGCCGATCGTAGTCTCGAGACCTTAGGCGACAGCTTTAGGACACCTTACATGCTGCAGGGAGTTGGGCTTCCCGTGGCCTGGCAGTTGCAGAGTCAAGACCCCAGCAAAGACAACGGAAACCAACGTCCAGATCGTCCAGCCGTCTTGTTCTGACTGCGTCTTCATCCCTTCCTTCCGAACACGGCACACGGTCCCACATCCTAAAACCCTAAAGCCCGAAATCCTCAAGCCAAAGGACCTAGATTCCCGGTCTTCACCAGCGGGATCAGGAGGTCTACCCGCCCGCCCTCCTTTCCCAGCGAAGCCCACGCTGTGACCTGAGCATGAAAGCTTGGGATGTGGATCCTTGCAGGATGCCCACTTAAGGCGTCTATCTATCTATCTATCTATCTACCTGTCTATCTATCTATCTTTCTATCTATCTATCTATCTATCTATCTTGCTATCTATCTTTCTGTCTATCTATGCATACATGTATAGATGCATGTGTGCAAGTATGTGTCTGTGCCTGTCTGTGTATGCATATAAATACATAAATATATATATACACATATACATATACATATACATATATATATATATATCTGTGTGTGTGTGCGTATGTGTG